GAAGGAAGGAAGGAAGGAAGGAAGGAAGGAAGGAAGGAAGGAAGGAAGGAAGGAAGGACCGACCAAATGGTTATGATTCCATGTGTGTGTCACCCAAGAGATAATACAAAGGAAATAATGGCTAAGCCAGTTATTAAGAACCAAAGAATAAGAAGAGAGAGAAGGGACTGGGGAACGGCACAGAAGCTGTTTTAAACCACAAGAGTGAGAAAGACGCTCAGGCAAACTGTCTGCGATGCATCCGTGTGGCTAGACGTCGAGAGCTGTGGTTCATGGGTGCCTCCAGCGCACACAATGAGGTGGTGACAAACAGAACCACATCCTGCTGGGCTTTGAGTGCCGAGTTCCGCAGCTGGGCTTTATCCCACGGCGTACTTTACTTCTTAAACTGTATTGAATGGAAGAACAAAGAGGGAAGGTTGTGTTTGCAGCCGAATCCTGGACTCTGCCTGAAGAAGTTCAGATTCAACAGGTCAGATAATGAGCCAGAAATCTGCAGTTTCCACAGCCCCTTACCCTCTCACGGTGATTGCACAGGGTGGCTTCGAGGTAACTTTCCAAACACAGCTGTAGGAGACGTGGACCCATGAAAGGGTCGCATGATCAGATCTGTTTCAGAAAAGTCACTCTGGCAGAAAGTTGCCTGTGTACCTGCTCACTCAGCAAGAGCCCCTAATCCTTTCATAATCCTCCTGTAACCCTCTGTGGCTTAGGGCCTGCAAAGCTCAGAACTGGCTCTGAGAGTAAATCTGCTAACAAGAGGCCTCTGAGAAGACTACATCTGAGTTGTCTTGAATTGTTTTTTTAAACCTTTTGCATTCCAAATATAAATATAGTATGTAGGCAGTGAAGGGAGTGGTTCTGAACCTGATTCTCTGACGAGGATTCTGCCTTGTGGAGTATGGGCTATACTGGAGCCCTGAGCCTACAGTGGATGGATCCTATTTGGTCTAGTCTGGGCTGCAGGAATGCCTGGCAGGACAGAACCTGTGCCTGTTAACACAAGTCCAGGGGGTATCTGGATACAAGCCACAAAGCTATTTACCCTGAAACACCAATTATATCATGTTAGAGAGCAGAACCCACTTGGATTAACATAATCTAGTCTCTTGCAGCCAGTAATGATTAAACACACTGATATATAGTTTGTGGCTTTCCAACAAAGAGCCTATACGTCCACTTTTTGAAACTGCATACCAGGAGTTTTCAGCCTTTTGCCACATGACTTATCATTTTTTACACTAGAGAACCACACAATCAAGTTATAAAATACAAGGCAAAAAAAAAAAATCTTATAATGTTTTAAGTAAGTTACAATTTTGTGTCGCGCTACACAGGTCAGTCTGGACATGCTATCCTACATAGCTAGATTCTTTAAAAAACTTGCCTTCTTTTAACCTGGTCATTCCACCGGTGAGAAACCCAGGCCGCCTGACATTAACTAATCACATAGAAGGCAAGGTGATGTCCATCTCACTTGAGTCTTCCAACCTTCCTCCTCCTCAAGTTCCAGGCCTCCTGACCCACAGGATCCAGCTTCTGTTCCAGCTGCATGAGTCTTCCACAGAAGGCCTCTCCTCTTCTGAAGCCAGGCAGTGCTTTTGAAAGTAACATTCTACAACCTCAACGGGTAACAGTTACATTGTAAGATTCTTTTTTCGTGACTGGTTAGATTTCTGAGGCAGCAGGCAGAAGAGACAGAACGCAGGAGAGAGAAGGGTCTGTCTGACCTTCAACAGAAGAGGCCATGTGTA